GTGTATAAAACAGGGGAAGTGAGGAGCCCTGAACTGATACCCAAGCTCTGAGTACATAATTCAGACCTTTCCACTGAAGAGTTTGACACCCCTGCCATAAATAAAAGAGCAGTAGAGTACAATAAACAATGCTTTATTCTTTCCAGTTAAAAACTTCCTTTGCACTGTAGTAAAATATTGACTTCAGGTGACCATATTACCGCAAAATATGATCTTTTCCTGATACCAACCAAAGAAGCCTTTACATACATCTGGCCTGTGAGAATGAGAATTTCATTGGCATATAGTAAATCCAGCCTTATTTGAGAGTGATGTGTTGACAATATTTTAATAATCCAACCACAACATCCTCGTTGCTTAAGCTCCCTGCCATAAGACACGTAGGTGTTGGTCTGCTATCTCAGAAGCCTGAGCATCGTTTTGTGGAGCTGTGACAAGTCTCCTGTGTAAACTCATAATAGTCAAAACTCACCGGGATTTAAAGTATTGGCCTGTATAACTCTTCTAGTACTTACCCTTGATGGCTTCTTCCATAGTCAGTGCTTCGCAATACTGCTGTAACATCCATAACAGGAAACGGAGAAGGAAAAAAAACACTATCACCTGTGTCATTTTAGCCAAGAAGAGTTTTCACATGCAGAGCAACAAAAGGCAGCACTTTTGGGCAGGCTGAATCGCTTCCAGATCTAATGCCCACCCCAACTCTGTTCTGATGGGCCTGGAAGTTACCTTGTGTCTATATTTTCTCATAAAAGAGCAGCATTAAAGCTGGTTCTGGTCATGGACAGTTAACAGTTTAGCTAAATGCCCCTGCAGTCTCCTGGAGCACCCGAGACTGTGACGACTCTGTTTGTACAGAGGAAATACCCACTTCTCTGGGCTGGTCTAATGGCAGGGCATTTGTTACCTCCCTTCTTGCTAAGCCCCAGCACAAACCAGAAAACTGTGACATTAATGCTGTATACAGGTGGATACCTGGAAGTGTGTCATCCTTCATGACTTACCCCATGGATGGCCTGGACATATATGTCTCGTTAGCTGCCAAGGTCTATTCTGGCATGCAAGCTCCTGTGTACTCTTAGCAGTGCCCTTCGACACAGGCTGGGAGACTTCTGATAGTACAGTCAGAAAATGCACCCCCAAGAGCAGCCATCAGAAGGCAGGCCAGATACAACCAGTCTGAGCTGCTGGTCCTTGGGACTGGTCAAGACCAGGAGAAAACTTTTAATGTCTAAGTTGTGTTTGCTTTGTCAGCTGAACTGGTTTACCTTTGTTTATTAAACTCCAGCATTCAGTACTGACCCTAGAGACTAACACTTGCTATAGTGGCAAATTTATTAGGACTCCCTTAGGTATGGAATAGGCTGAGGTTTTTGATTATATGCACACAGCTTCTTTACACCCGCACTGTACATGAGCCGATATGTTAAATAAGATCCAAAGCCTATAAAAAGAGGAAGCCCATCTCTGCAAAGAAGTCTCCCCAGGAGCCTAAACTCTGCCTGTTATATCACAGCTGGCTCATCCTTGCTCCACCATGCTGGCTAAAGCCATCAGGTTTTGGCAGATGCTTGAGAACCAAGATGCTGATGTGATCACCAGTCCTTGGCACAGTAAGGGATAGGAGTGTCCCTGGGAGTTGTTCATTTTTATTAGGAATATTTCTGTAGCAGTGTGTGAAAAATTGGCTTCTGGCAGGGAAGGAAGAGGTACAGGAGAAAAAACCCTGATCCTCTTTCTCCTCTGAAACATTACTTGTGTTTAGAGCTAAACCCAACTGCGACTGAGCCAGAGGTTCTCCAGGTAGGATTTCACAATCATCATTCACCAGGGGTCATAAAGGAAAGTTTAAAAATCCCAATCAGAAAGACAAATACCTGAATAATTCTCCTGTGGAGCTGGACCTGGGAGTAATCCAGATTGGTGTTGCAGCTTGTTGTTCTGACAAATAACAGAGACAACAAGCATCCAGGCATTCATGTGTGTGCATGCGTGTGTGTATACACGTGCGTACACACAAACTGCAGCTTAATATCCTTCTGGTGGGGTTTCCCTCTATAGGGCTCAGGACCTGCATTTAGGTGAGCCAGCTTCATGCGCAACATTTAATCCCTACCTCCACTGTAAGGTTGTGGGATGGAGCTCACAACCTGGGTCCAAGCTGTAATGAAAGGAAGGAGGAGGGTTTCTTACTCAGTGTTTTCTTACTAGTGATCTCTTTGCACTGTGTTCAGCCATCCTGAGCCCTACATAACTGTTTTTTTTCAGTGCAGACATAGAAAAGAGAGGTATTTCTTGCTAAGGACCCCCCTTTCTTAGTAACTGAACTAGCCTCCATAGCTTGGAAGGCTTGCTGTCCCTCAGTGGGGGCTCATGAGCCATGTGGGACTCCTCAGTACTTCTGTGTCACCCTGCTGCTCGGCGCTACACCGCCTTGGCTGCATCACATCGTCACCAGAGATGAGGAGCAGTACAGCTGAAGATGCAAGTGATACTCTGCTTCACACAAATCATTAGCTCTGGGCTTAAATTTTCTTTTGAGGTAGCATTGATTGAATTCAATTTGTTTTGTTAAAATGTCATAGGTCTGCTGCTCTGTACAAATGTCAAGTATCTAGAGAGCTGCTGAGGCTGGGAAGTCTCTCGTTTATGGGAAACTCTGGATTTCTTCCAATTTCTACCCAGTTCAGATCAAATCAAACTTCTGAAACAATAATAGAGTGAATTAAGAGCTATGCCTCTGCACCAGTTCAGTGAATCAGATACATATGAAAATTACTTTAGTGATACTGGTGCTCTTCTGTTCTGCAATACACCATTTGCCAGATACAGTGAAAACAGTCAAGGAGTGAATAAATGGGAGTCATCGTTATTAATTAGATTTTAGAACTGCATTAATGAGCTAGGAAAGGAGGAGATGAGGTACTGGAGACA